TCGCGGCTTCAAGATGTGTCCTTTTGGCTTAGGGCTGATCTATGCGCCGAGGCAACCCGGAGCTTGATCAACTTTCATCAGAAAGGAATCCGTCAAAGAGTGGTCCCTCAATGTCGTTGACTCAATGTCCCGTTGTTGGACCTTGAAAAGTAGCCATGTTGTTGGAGGCCATCAGTCAACTGCAACTTTGCGGGGAATCCGCTGAGCCCTGTCAAAATGTCCTGATATGTCCATCCATGGGAGGGACATGGAGCTCTGAGTTTCTGACAGCAAGAAATAAACCGGGAAAAAGCAAAAGCAATCCTGAATCCTGAATCCGAAGCTTATGTCTCGCAGCGCATCCCCGTGTTGGAGAGGGTTTGTTTTGTTTCCCTTTCCGGGAATCTCCGGATTCATCGGTCTTTAATTGGCATCCCCAGCCAAAATTGGTCAGCGGACGTAGACAAGAATGTGCACACACACACACGTGCGTAGCTCACACGAGGCACCCGGACCCCAAGCAGAACCAGGACAGCTCAATACTGGATGGCCAAACTCTTGCACCACTTGTGTTTTTTTGTTGGGGAGGTGGCACCATAGCAAGTAACCAGCATGTTTGTTGCTTTATTTCAAAGGGCGGTTCCCCTGCCTATACTTTGGTGCATGTTGCTTGGATGTTAGGACTTTAACTTTTTGCCAACTAATGGGTTTTCCAATTAAACCACTGAAAGTTAAACTTTTAGCAGGGGAGCAGAGGCAACCGAGTATAGGTACAAGGAATCGCCTCCGAGCCGAGGTGAGTTATCGGCCAATCTTTCTGGAGGACGGAGGGGGAGATGACTACACGCAGGAGCAGCGGGGCGCATACTTGGAGTTCGCCCCTCGGCTGACTCCGCTCCGTAAAAACTTCCGTGGGTGGATGTAAGGACGGGTTCTTTGTGTTTACAATGTAGAAAACATAGACGGATCAGTTCAAACAAGCATTTCTTGTTTGACTTGTTGTGTCAATTGTTTTTTTGGTTTTATCGGGGGGGTGGCTCAATATATTTTCCTGGTGACTTAAACAAACAATTTGGACCCATTTAGAGTGAGTCTTTCCTTGAGCTCTGGCTGATTGCTTTGCCACATTATTTTGGGGGTGGGGGCTATCGCCTGTTAACCTTGTTCATTCAACTACCAGGGCCACCTATTTTCCCAAAAGGACACCTATGAGCCCGTAACTTGCCTGCCCCCTCACCACGTTTTTCCATCAGAGCCTACGGATCCTTCAGGTTTGGGGGCTCCGGCGGGTGCCAGAGGTTCCTGTTTCCTCCTTTTGCTCAGTTTCAAAATGCGCAGTCCGTCCAACATGGAACCCACCAGAGGGTCCATTAGGAAGGAACATGGAACATGATTTTACACCCCGAACCATCAGGTGCCATGTTGGACAGACCGACAGAAACCTTTGTGTGGTTCAACTGAAGGGGCCCAGCGCGACGGGTTCCTTTGCATCCAGGAGGTGTGTTCTGGGTGAACTGGTCGCAGGTCACACTTGCACGTCCGCCAGGTTCTGGCAGTTGTGTGGGTTGGGGCGCGCTCTGTGACGGACTTGGCCTTAAGCCCATAGGGAGCGAGTGGGTGTTTTTCAGATTCAGACCCCCAAAGGTTCTAAGAAGCTGCCCAAAGAACATGATTCACATTTTGGTTTAGAAAGGATTGTCAGCATGAGAGGCCAAACTTAGCGGGGGCTGGTCCCTTGAAAAGGTGACTGCACTGGGGGATCCTTCAAGCAACATATCCCCCATGGTCCGTTGGCAAAGTTGCGTTTGTTCTTGATCTTTCGTGTCACTCTTCAAGTGGGCGGCAAGCCATGCGGCCATGCGTGGGCAACGAACCACCTTGTCAAATTGGCATCGCACATTGTTCTCCTTTGCTTCCAAATGTTTCTCGATGGGGTCAAACTGGATAGTACATAAATTTACAAAGGCATTTACAAGTGAAAGTACACCTTTTTTCTGCACACACTGCATTAACAGTTTGCACATGTTGAAAAACCTGTATGTAACTACATGTGTGTATATGTATACATATGTATGCATATATATATATATGCATATTTATATGTATTTAGTTAACTTCAGCTCCTTGCTAGTCTTGTGCACGGCGTACGGGAACCATCCCGCCTCAGGCTCGGCTGATTGAGACTCGGCTTGAGACCGTCGGAAGCCGCGGCAAAGCCTTCGATCGGAGTTTCCGTACCTTGGTTCCCAGCCAGCCGATTCCTCGGTTCCTTTTTGTCAGCTTTTTGGCTCAGTGGTAGCTTCCACAAAACGAAAATTTAGACTTGGTTGACTTAGTACCTTGGTGCCTTGCCATTCTCAATGTGGAAAGCATGACGTGGGAGGCATCAAGTCATAGAGTGGCACCATTCTCAATAGGTTTGGTCTTTTTGCAGCTTTCTTGTTGGTTAAGTGGAGTTTCAGCAACGAGAAGTGGGTCACCTTTAGCACCCTGCTTGTTCGATTGGGGGGTACTTCGCTGTTGCCAGGTGTTAGTTGTGTGTTGTTGGTGTTCAGGTTTAGCAGGTGCAAGAAAGAATCCGTTTTTTTTGTTGCCGAGAAACAAGCTTCAAAACCAAAATACGACCGTTGCCGTGGGGTGGGTTCAAAAAAGAATCTGAGGCAAGCCATAATTGGTGGTTTGGATGGCCTGGCGATTAGGGATTTGACTCCCTAGAGGGCAAATGCTTTACATCACCCCACCAAGCCACCGATTTAGCTCCAAACCGCTCAGAGGAACTGTTGCAAGTTTTGCTTCGATGTTAGGACTGTAACTTCTTGCCACCTAATGGGTTTTCCATATTAAACCACTAAAAGTTAAGTTTTTAGCAGGGGAGCAGAAAGCAACCACGGAAAAGCTGAAACCCCGCGAATTTCTTCCAAGGACGCGCACATGTCCCAGTTTCTGGCGGACTACGGCGGGACCGAGGCGAGGGTGCAAAAATGAACACCTCAACTCCACTCTTGGCATGTGTTTTCTTTGTTGTGTTTGCTTGTTCTTTTGATCTTGTTTGTTTTCTGTCGTTTCATTGTTTTGTTTCCTGGTGAGTTCTTCCTTTGGGTTCTGCTCACTTTGAGTGGCGGATCCATCTTCTATGGGCAAGCCTTGGCCGCTCCCTGACTGACCAAGCCAAAGGGGCAAGCTGAGTTCTTTCTCCAAAAAGTCAATGGCAGGTATGGTTTTTGGAGGATGCCAATAAGTTTTACCAATATCAACGTGTAATGCAACATAGACCCCTCATACAAGTAGTATATAACGTCCAGGCCTCCAAGACCCATACCTGACTGCCCTTGGTTCATGCTAGAAACACCCGAGACTCGGCTAGGCCGACTTCATTGCCGGCCTGCAGTGGATGAAGCACACTCAGGACGCACGGGGTCTTGACTCGTCTCGGTCTTTTTCACCAGCGAAATGGGGGCTCGTAGAGTTTTCTATTGGTTGATCGGCTGATCCCCCATTCTTTTCACCCATCCTTCTTTTCAAAAACCGATCGCCGTTTTTGTTTCTTCCTTTTTTTCCCCTGGGGTTTTGGATGGTTTTCTGAAAAGAAGGATCCCTGAAAAGAATGGTTGGAAGTGTCCCCTAGAAGTTTGGGTGGATTACGGCTCATATTTTTTTTAAGGTCCAGGAGTCGTGGGTGGGCCGGAAGCTCCGCATTGGTGCCTAGAATGGTTGGCTTTCTTTTGGTTTTCGTTTAGCCACCAGGCTGTGATGGGCGAAATCCATTTCGAACCACTTGAAACCATGGTTGAAACCATTGTTTGTTGGCGTTTAGAGGGGAGTCATCATTCCAGGGTGTCTTAGCCAGTGAGTCCATCCACAGTATCGTACGGGGGTTTGGATTTCATGTAAACAAACACTAGCATGGGTGTGTCTACATTGGATTTGACAGCGTTTCTAGCCACCAAAGGCAAACAAATTGCCCTACGCACGCGCAAGTATCACGAAAGCTGGCGTTTGCTACTTTCTACTTGCATAAGCAAGTGCATGGGGTGAATCCCCACCTCACTTGCCCAAAGCCGACCTTTGGAATCTCTTGCTTCTCCCATTTTGGGCTCCCATTCATAGTCAACCCAAAAGGTGATCGCCTTTTTACGTCTGGGTTTTTGGTGGCAACTGAGCCACGCTTTTTGTTTGGTAGCTTTATGTCTGGGTCCCTTGAAACTGAGCCAAAAAATATCGATTGGGGCAGGAGCAGAACTGGCACGCCTACCAGCTCTGCCTGCATCAGATCGACTTTGAGCCTTTTGTCCAGATGCTCCGCCGGGGCGCTCGGGCGCTCGGGCGGGGCCGGGGCCAGCTGCCCGGAACCGGCCCGGCTCAGCCGGATCGGATCTCTGGGCATCGGATCTGTGACCTCACAGACGAAATCCGCGTCTCGCACCACCCGAAGAAACCAGAGGTGGAACCCATCGGATCTTTGACCTCGGAGCTCCATTTCGAACCTGAAGAGGTTGAAACCAATGGTTGTTGGTATTGGCCTGGAGTCGTATCATTCCTTGTTTCCTGAGCGGTGCGAAATGGATCAGAACTTGCTGGGGACATGTGTACTTCCACTGTTCAGCGGTTTGGCAGCAGACAAAGAGGCGAGGGCTTGGCCCAACATTGGGACACACACCAGAAAAACCAGTAGATACAACAAGACCACCCTGGGGGGATCGCCCTGACAATTCTGGATTTGCTGGAGAATCAGCAAGTTTGGCAGGTAGATGCCACGTTTTTTGTTTTTTGTTTTTCACTTGAAGAAGTGCAGGTACTGTTGCGGGACTGTGCGCCCCAGTTCAGTGACACTCTTGTCTTCGTCATTTTGCAGGGTTTTCACTTGCCTAAAATCCAACACAGGTTCCGCGCAAAAGGCGGCCCCAGGTCCGAAAAGGAACCGGCCAAATTTGGAGATCAACGTCCACCCCCCCAACCCCAAGTGGCAGGACTTTGGACGCCACCTCACAGCAAAGTTGGCCGCTCGAGTTCGCAGCCGCGCGAGATTGTCTTTTTCGGCTCAGACCGTTTCGGTTCCATCGACTCGCGGCTCCGCTCCGCGGCTCCGCTCCGCGGCTCCGCGCGGCGGAGTTTCCGGATGGCGGGCAGCTTTGTGAACCCGATCTTGCCGGGAGGCTTTCCAGATCCCTCCATCTGCCGCTCGGGAATGGACAATTTGACTCTTGAACTCACTCCTTCGTGTCTTGAACTTTAGTCATTCTTTCGGGTTTGGACCAGTTTGGTGGTAAGCAAAGAGTTTGGTCAGCAAGTGAGTCTTGCAGGGGTCCCTCATCTCCGCTTGTGGTGGTTTTGATCGGCCCCTTTTGGGGCCGCTTTTTGTGAGCGGCCTTTTGGGAGGAGGAAATAGTGGACGCGCGTTGTCAGTCGTTTTTGTTTGCCCATTTATTTGGGAATCCCGCCTATCTGGTTGGCTTCACGCACAACAGGATAAGTTCTGAAAAGTTCCAGTTATGTGTAACCTTTTGGGGCACTGCTTGCAAGGTTTCCTTGGACACTAGCTCGTCCCAAGCGATTCTGCCGGTTGATCTTCAGGTCAGGTGTAGTTGCCCAATGGCATTTGTTTTTGTTGGTGTAGTCTTTTGCCCAGATCTAAGCTGAACTGAGCAATCAGTTTCAGACAGAAGCCGTCGATTTGATTCTGATGGTTTGGGGTCTTGGCGTTTTTTCGGACCGGCTCAACTGGGTGTAATATGATCTATCGATCAAATGTGGCTGAAGTGTGCCCCGCCCCAGCCATACAAAACACTGTTTAGTAGCTACGCTGGAGGGAGAAGGGCCACCAGTTGGGATGGACGAAACCATCTAAGTCCTTGCGCAAAACACTTATCAACTGGCGCCGATGTGCTATTTCGCAGTACTCGAAGTCTAGGTTTCCTGTTTCTCCTCGGGTGGCTTGGACGCAGCTGGGCTCGGGATGTCTTTCAGCATAGGTCGTGTCGGTGACACTTTCTACTTATGCAACTCCTCCTTCGAGTACTTCCCTGGCTTGCCCATCCACGAGAGCAAGGCTCAGCGAATTCGAGCAAGTCTGTGTGTTCGTGTGTTTGTTTGGGAGTGCGTTGGTTTATGTGGTCGGTTTGCTTGTTTGTGTGTTTGTGCGTTTGTTTGTTTGTTTGTTTGTTTGTTTGTTTGTTTGTTTGTTTGTTTGTTTGTTTGTTTGTTCGTTTAATTGTTTGTTTGGTCTTTGTTTGTTTTTGTTGTCGTTCTTTGCTGCTTGCTTTCGTGCTTGCTTTCTTGCTTGCTTGCTTGCTTGCTCGCTTGCTTGCTTGCTTGCTTAGTCTGCCAGTTGTTTGTTTCCCCCGACTTGCCTTCTTGGCAGCTCGTGCCAGTTAGATAGTTAGTTAGTTAGTTAGTTAGTAAGTTAGGTAGGCAGATTATAGTTGAATAGTATGTTTGTGTATGTGCTTGCTTGTTTGTTTGTGTGTGTGTGTGTTTGTCTGCTTGCTTGTTTGCATGTTTGTTTGTTTGTTTGGCTGGTTGGTTGGTTGTTAGCTTGTTTGCTTGTGCGTTTGGTTGTGGGTGTGCTTGTTTGGTTTTTGCTTGTTTTTTTGTTTGTGTTCCTTTGTTTCTTTGTTTCTTTGCTTGTTACTGTTAGTGTTTCTTTGCTTGCTTGCTTGCTTGCTGGCTCGCTCGCTCGCTTGCACGCTTGCCCGCTTGCCCGCTTGCTTGATGCGTGCTTGCCTGTGTGCCTAAATGCTGGCTGACTGACTAATCTGTTGAGACCACAAACATTTGGTTGAACGCCACAAGTCTTATTATGGTCAACTTGCAAAGGCACAAGCTGTTAAACCTTGCCACCTGTACCATCTTAGATGTTTGTCCTTGACTAGATCATGGGACACATGATGTGTGAAAAACATGTAGGTTTATGGTCGGACGTTGATAAGATAGAGTTTTTGGCGGCCTGGCGTGCCTTTTTTTGGGTACTGTTTGCGAAGGGAAACCAAGAGGAACACATTCTAGGAGGCCGCCATTCAGAGAGAGACTGCTCCCAGGAAATGGTGTAGTTAGGTCCCCTTTCCAAAATGCGAAAAAGGTTGTGTTTGATGGGGGAAATAGGGTTGGCCTACGGGTTGATTCCAACCATTCTTCTCAACCCCAGATAGTCGATTCACGCACCATTTTACCAGCGTTTGACCCATTTGAAGGGCAAGTGTGGGCAACAAATGCATACATAGATTGCGGGAAAGCCATAGTTCTTTTCCATTGGGGAAGGGACCCCTGGAGCTATGTGGACAAAACCGCTGTTTAAACAACCTTGGTTTGGAGCCCGGTGGTTGGACGGGGGGGTGGATCCCCTTCTGGCGCAAGTCATGTTCACAACCACCAACCTAAACCACAAACCCAAGGGTATCCAATATACATGGGCTCTTTGTTTGCAAAATGGCCGCTTTGGCACAAAAAGCTTTAAACATATTGAAGGCGTGTGGCAAAGCATCTTTTTGGTTCAACCAAAAAGTAGGTCAAAGATCCAGCCACTAGATGAACCCCAGCTTTTTCTCCCCCAAACATTGCGCCCCATACCGACACCGCGCCCCCTCAATCCTGCTGCCTTCGGCTCGAGCTTCTCAAAGGTGCTCGTTACGGAGGATTTTCCGTACCCTCTACAAGAACCAGGGGTCAAATCCCTAGAGCCACTGCAACGACCCGATCCGAAACCGCGAGGACTTGGTGAACTGGACCTGGGCAGGCCACGGGCTCCATCGCAGGGACCAAGTCTGCGGCGCCGCGCCGCGGCGCGAACTTTGGTCTCGCCCCGGCCTTCGGCCTGGCTGGGCGTCGTGTTTTTTTGGGGTTGGCGCGTTTTTTTTGGGGAGGCTTTTTGGAGTTGGAAAAGACGCCACTTTGGAGTTGGCACCCCTTGTTGGGGGGCTTTTTTGGGCACGCCATTTTTGTTGGAGTTGGCTTTTTGGTTTTCAGGGGGGACCACACGGAGAAGAACAAAGGGAGAACATGTTGGGGCTCCCCCAAAAAAGGGACACGCTCATGTACCTATATTTCCCCCTTGCATGTGGCACCGAGTGTTTTTTAACGAAGGGCGGGCAGTGGGGAGGGATGTGAAGCCCATTTTGGATGCTCCGACCAACTGGTGCCAGAGTTGGTCCGTTCACAGTGCGCTTTCCCCCTTGTTCTAGTTTTAAACACCTTTTTGAAGGTGAGCTTGTCTGGTAGGGCTGCTGTTTTCAGGAACGAAGACGCTTGTGTGATTAATTTGGGTGTGTGGCAAGGGGGTAGCTCCAAAAGAGCGGTTCTTTCCCTAGCTTCCTGAAACGCAGGCAGTGTCCGGTTTTTGGGTTGGAAAGGGACAAAGTTGAAAGTCCGCGGATTTGTATCCAGGTGTTGCGTCCCCCATTTGTTTGACACATGTCCACATGGCACACGAAAAAAGGCGGGCCACCCGAAAGGAGCTTCCGGGAGAGGAACCATGGGGTTCTTGTGGCTCGTGCGCCTGGAGTATACTCTGTGGAGTTAGGCGTGTTGAAGCTTCGTTGGGTGTTTTAAGGTGGTCTTGCAAAGTTTTAGGTTGTCTTTGGGCCTTTAGACATTTAGTTCTTTAGGCTTTGGCAAGCAGAGTTGGGCGTTGTTGGGCGGGATTTCAAAAGGATCCAACCCCCTCCTCCCCTATCTTGTCCCCCGGTGCGCCAGAATTGCGACAAGTTGCGGCCTTATCAACGCCTCATTTCGCGCAAGCCTGGGTCGTAAGCAACCCACAAAAGCATATACAATTATAGTGTTCCTCGCCATGAACCACAGAACCTTTTTCTTGTGGGTGTTTATTTGACTGAATCTCCTTCCGCTGCATTCCGGCTTCCTTTACTTGGTGGCTCCCAGCCATCCCCGTAGCCTTTTTAGCCTTTTAGTGTTTAGTGGTAGTTGCCATTTAGTTCGCCAAGAGTTTTCAAGGGCAGCCCAGTTTAAAGGAACCTTCCGGCTCAAACCCCCAGCACCCGGAACGCTCATCCCCGAGAGTTTTTTGTTCGGCGAGGTGAACTTGGTGGACGTGAAGTCGGATGACGGCATTCAGGCGCCCTCCATCCGGTACAAGGACAGGATGCTGTCCAGCGCCCTGAGCAGGGCCGCCCACTTTTTGACCTGCCCTGAAAATGACGAAAAAAACAATAATGGGCCATGCACCCGCAAAAAAGGATGGGTTCTTAAGTCTATTTGCAGGTGGAAAAAATGGAACCCTGGCCCTGTGTTTGTTTGGGGCCCCCGCAGGAAGGTCAGCCAAGTGCGCCATGTGTTTGTAATATTTAGTCCCAGGACTGGGGTCGAACCGAAACCAAAACCACCCAATCGGCCAAGTGAGGTCCTTAGGCAATGGCGGTTCAGTGATTGACCCGGGGGTATGTCTTCATGTTTGCCCGTCCGGGGTGAATGAGATACACAGCCACTGCATAGCTCCTATGTGAAGCAAACATATCCCATCAAGTTGGGTTTGAGGTTGTGCAAACCATCTCAGAGCATTGAACACTTAGAATGGAGGGTTTAGCCCCACCCCCAAAGCTTCCATTTGCTTATCGTTTTTTTGTTTTTCTTGGCCTTGTTGGTTTTGAAAGGAACTTATCACTACTGGAAATATGGTTTCTTTTATTTTCCCGGTCTTGACCAAATGAAAGGAAGGGACAGTGAGTCCTACAAGTTGGGGCCGGGCTTTCAAAGGCATCGAGCAAAACCCGGCTGGGTGCTACGAATAGCAACCGTAACTTGCAGCTTACCCAAACGGAGGCGAAGATCGATTTGTACGTATGATTTTCCAGACCCCCCTATTTAGCATGGGAGTCTTTTAAGATGAGGGAAATTGAAGAGAAGCCAAAAGGAGATCAGCCCAGTGTGGAGAAGATCCGGCTGAGACCACGAAAACCGGAGGTGTGTGTGTGTGTGTGCGCGAGTTGCCTAGGTGCAAGTGAGGGCGACTTGCCTTGTCCTGGAGAGAAACATTAGGAATTCATGGAAAGGTTCTAAGAACAGCTTCTGAACAGGGTCTTTCGTTGGGTGGGGGAGTCCTTGTGGTTTCCTCCATAGGGCGGTTAGGTCGTTACAGGACGGCACCTTCTACATCATCACCACCTGCGTGTATCGCCCGCCGGATGTGGATGAGGGCACCTGTACCAACTTTATCATCACCGCCACTGACGTCAAGGTGAGGATAGGGTCCCGAGATCTTGAGAGCGTCGGTAGTGCCCACTACAAAACCAGGAACATCAGTTTTATGATATGTATGTATAGCAGCCATGTGGCCCTTTGGGTAGTTAAAGCCAGCTTAGGATGTATCACCTCTCGGGCCAGTGTGTGATTTTCAAGCGTTGGGATCTTTGTCCCCCTTTTCTGTTAGGGGGCGAAAGGGGTGTCCGTTGCGGAGGCCCCTTTTGATACAATTCTTACCCTTGGCGGGTAGATGAAGATCATGTACATGCAACAAGGGCCTCATGATGTTCAGCTAGGGGTGGAATCAACATGTTGAAAGTTAAAGACGAACCAAACAGCAAGCAAGTGCAGTGGGGGCAGGTTTCAAGTTTGAGGTATACCAAGTATTTTTAATCCTTGTCAACTTTGTGTGGCTTTCTTCGTCATTGAAGCAAAGGCCCAAAGCAGCAATACGTTGCGTGATTTGTGCAGAGTGACATTTCCATAGCCTTGTTTGCAACAACTAGCCAACCTTGAACTGGCCCAAAGCTTCCCCTGCAAAGGGAAACTGAAACACCCGATTTTATAAACTCGTCCTATTAACCAGGGGTGGCACCTACCAAAGTGGAGGATACACACACCCCTACAAATCAGCCAGTGCTTTATTCATCTGAGGTTCTCATTATACCCAGAGGCTCCTGGGGCTTTCAAGGGAAGACCCCTCCATTAGACAACACCTGGCCGTTTGAAGATGGGGGTCATGACCCCTTGATTTTGGGTACTGACCCCATTTGAGGGTCAGAAGGAGGCTCCAGGCGCCTGAAGCCAAGTGAGTCATATCTGGCCGTTTGAGGGCACCAAATACATCGGGAGCCTCTGGGTATCCTAAAAAAAACACGAAAAAAGTCGCGCCCAGAAGGTGACCAGAGCGGTAGCCGTTTCGCTGAGGGGCCCTGGTCGGAGCCCCACGTCATCGAGGGCGCTCCGGGCATTGATCCGGATATCTTCTTCGATGACGACGGCCACTCGATATCTGCAAAAAACATATTTCTGCTACCCTGGCCACTAATATCCTAAAAAACATCGCTGACATCTGCTTACCTGACGAAATATCCTGATTTCCGCAGAATTTAAACCCCACCCTGAAAAACCTCTGGAACCTCCCTGAAAGCTAATTGCCTCTAGCCACTCCATGCCATTCACTGGGTCCCGAATGAAGCTATTTCTTTTTAGGGGGGGTGGAGAAATTTGTTTTCCATCGGAGGGAGGGATTGGTCTGTTTTTCATCTGGGGAAGGGATCATTCAGTCCAACCATGTCCAACCTTGCAGTCCGCAACAGGAAGCAAAATAGGTTTCCCCGACACATAAACTCTGGATAGCTTTCATGGGCTCCAGCTTGCTGATGCGGGGACGGGATGAGCGAAAGGGCAAATCATGAATGTCCTTTACTCGGGATGCCGACTCAGGTGTTGGACATGCTTCTAGGTCCCCCAGTAGCCCTTTTACCCTTTTTTGTGGGAAGGTTCCCCTACTAAAATAGACTACAGAAAAAATGGTCCCCTTGTTCTAGCCTCCCTACTGGAGGACCTAGGTTTTTGACTTTGCAGATAAATGCGCCTATTCCAGCCACCCCGACTAGCTGACACCCTTGGCCAGCAAGACTAGCTATCATGGAGGTCACTCAACGGGCCATGTGACAGCCGTTGGGGACATATTGGAATGGTTTTCCACCCATGCCGTCGCCTTAGACCACCTATCAAGGAAATAGTCCCAGAGAGTAAGACCTAAGTGGAAGTTACACGGATATCAGCCACTTGCTTAGTGCGGTCCAAGTGAGGTCTAGCAAGCTCTATCCCTAGCCCATGCCTGGGATAAGGGCTGAAGGAAAAGCCAGCTCAGGGCGCAGGCTGGAAAGTTGGTCAAGGGGTTTCTTTAGGTTTTCCTTTTCCCGGAACCTTCAATTTCCTTGATCGGCGCTGAGCCAGCCATATCCCGTTCACTCGGGTGTCCCAATGTTGGCCTTCCGAGACTGCCCTCGCGCCTCAAGTTTCCCCCTCTTACGCCTGCCTCTATGGCGGAGGGCAAGAAAAGGGATCTTGGTCGTCCAAGGACGACCTCCTGTTGAGTCTCCCTTTCCAGTCCATGTTTTGCAGGCAAGTGAACCCTTTGCTTGGCAGGAGTACCCCACACCCTTACTTCTACAAACACGTTCTTTTGGGTGCAGGGTCGCCCCTTCCCGATACGGCTGAGGGCAAGAGGGCGGCGTGCAAATCGCTCAGCACGATTTTGCCTCCAGGCAAAGTGTGGTATGTGGGCACAGCTGCGCCCGACAAGCCCAACTTCCCTGGGGAAGGCGTGGCACAATGACACTGAGGCCTTCAAACTGGGTTCGACAAGGTCAATTGGCTGTGGGTCAAAAAAATGTACCCAACATGGAACCCTGGTAAGTGGAAACATGGACCAAAGCCTGCGTGGCTTAATTTTGACCCATACCCACATGTAGCATGCCAAACGCTGCATTTTGGAGTGGATTACCTTCACAATCAATCAACTTCTGGTCCAGCGTGGAACCCAGAGGCTCCCTTGTCAAGCGAAATGGTTTTCCAGCACTCCATGCGGATGAGAGGGTATAGGGGGCTCAAGGTACCCGTTTTTTGGGGTTGATTGAACGGGAAACCAAAGGGAAACCAGCCACAGCGCAGGTCCCTCTTTTTTGACCCGTACGCGTATCCAAAAACGGGCCACTGGAGGGCGGGCCCCACGACAGGTAAGTTAATGGGAGTACTGGGCTAATTCCACTCGGACGCACTAGCTGTGGCTGGGTCGTCCAAGTGATCCGGTGTTGGGCGTGTTGTTTTTTGAGGGTACCTTTTCCGGTTTTAAAGGGAAACCAAAAAGAACACCACCATCTTTTTCTCCGGGGGGGGCTTACATACCCACATTGTTCTGTAATGCTTTATTGTTCGCCTCATGAGTTTCATCCGTTTTGAGATGGAACTGCTCCATTCGTGCAGTCTTTTCGTGGTTGCCCTTCTAGCCAGGGCCCAACAAGTGTCCGAACTCAGCAGTTCAGAGAGAGGCTTCAGACAAGAGCCCAAGTAGTGGCGCTGCGAATGAGCAAGACAGCCGTGACAGAGCGGGCCAGGAGTTTCTTTGCCGTCGCATCAGCCGCACCCAGTTGGATGGACTTATTTGGTGCCTGCAGAAATTTCTTTGGATTGTCCGAGGTAGTTACATTAGTTCATGTTTTTGAGGGGGTTCCCTTTTCAGTGGGTTCCTTTCTTCCAGGACCCCTTGATTTGTTATTTCTGGGGGGTGGCTTCAAGGGGTCAGCGTGATTTGTGGGGTGAGGTAGTCTTGTGAGGCCCCCGCTTGTGTTGCAACCTCCCTCACCCTGGCTTCCTCCCAATTCGGAATATATTTTTTTGGAGGGCGTGGGTTAGGCGACTTGCAAGCTTGGATTCTATGAATGTGCGTAAGGATTCGTACTGTTCATTCCAAGGTCCGTTGGGCAAGTGCAACCTAGCATGCCGAATGACGAGTTGTGCGCCCGGGGGCGCTACATGTCCGTGTGGTTTTTGCCTCGTTTCGCGCCTCTGCCCAGAGTTTCCTTCACTTCCCTTTTTTTTGACGCGACCTTCGAAAGCGGCGAACGTTTCAAAGGACACCACCAGTGAGTTGCGATTTTTGAAGGGCAGCCCTGTTGGGTTTCATTTCCGGGGAGTCAGTTGGCATCTTTGATCGGCTCGTGGTGGCGCAAGGCGAAGTCTACACCCACGTGCCTTGCTGGAATGGCCCCCCAACACTCAATACGCAGTTGCTTCTGGGAATGATTGGGTATGATGTCAGCACCTGACGAAACCTGGAGATGTTTTTCTTTGGTGTCCTCAAGACGCACTTGCTCTCTTGCTTGGTCTTCGGTGCGGGCATCGTTCTTCAGAAACCACCCGTTGGTTTCCGCTTTGTTGGCAATTTCGGAGGGTACGGCTGGATTTGCTCAATGATGTAGATTTCCAAACGGAGAAGGAAGTAGCCAAGCAGTTTTTCAGGGCCATACTGTGGATAGACAGAATCTTGCACCAGTTGATTGATGCAACCCTTGTGCGGATGGACAGCTTCCTGCTTTAGTTGGTAAATGGTCTCCAATCATCAACTCAGGCTTCATCCAACTCTCCATCCACAAGAGGAAATCTGAGACAACCACCTAGCTGGTGCAGGAATTTGTCCATCCACATTGTTTGCTTTGTAGTGGGACCCTGGTTGGATGCCTCTGGGGGTCAAATTCATCGATTGGGGGGGTGTTCCGCAAAGTGATTCGCTTTGGCTTTTTGACCTAACACCAGCAGCTTTTTTGTGGGGGTCCCCAGGTCACATCTGCCCTTTTTCCGGGGGGTTCAAGCTTTTCTGAATCCCGAAACTAGGGGTTTCTGCTGAAACAAGTCTGAAACTCGTCATTTAAAAGTCTAAAGTGGTCTTCCCAAAAAGTATATCGTCCAGGAATGCACTGAGTGGGGTGGATTTGACTTCGGAAACTGTCATTTGGGAATATTGAATATAGACCACATACCGAAGGGGAGGGGCTTAGTTTTTGTTATGAGACCACCAGGGAACGGCTTTAGTTCCTGAGATCTCAAGAGACCCTTGATTGGCTGCTTGGATTTGGATTGGGGTTGGGCGAAATCTTAAAGCCCAGAACAAACAGCTTGATTGATGGGGTATGTCCCTTTGTAGTGGTGGTTCAGACCACTTCTTAAAAAGAACACCCCCTAATAGGATAGGTCCTACTTGGATCCGGGAACATGTCTTAGGGGTTGAAGCGCCTCGTGCCATCCAGCAATCTTCACATGTGAACTTCCATTAGCCCCCCGATCAACTACCTCTAGTTTGGCCACCAAAAGGGAGTACTGCAAACATGAGGGTTGCCAAAGGCCAAGGGTACAGAAATGCCCGGCACTCAACGCGGGTCCCGATATTTCCCTTTTTGGTCGTTTTCAACATCACTGTTTGCCCATGAAAGGTGAGTGTTTGTTGGTGGGGGTGATGATTTAAGGGGAAATATAGGGAGCGGTGCTTCAGTACCCTGCATATAGTTCTCACTTCGGGAAGACTAGCTGGCCACGTCCTGAATGAGGTGGCCATCCCAGTGCAGAACTCCGTTGCCCCTTATGACCGCCGTCGGAAAACTGTGACTCCTTTGGGGGGGATCCAACGACCCTGGAAATGCAATGCAAAATGGGGGCAATCGCCTGGTCCTCCAGTAGAGAGGTAAGGTCGCTTATCCTGCCTGGCATGCCTTGAACTTCAGCTGAAGTGCCTTTTCCATGGGCCACTCTGACAGAAGCAATCGGCTTGAATTAGAGTGGTTTGGATGGAGGGGTACCTTATTCCTTTTCGTGACACCGTAGGCGACCTTCGGGGAAACATGTAGTGGGGCGCTGGCAAATGGTGCGTGAAACCCTTTAAACCAGTGGAACCCAGCCATTTCTTCCCAAACTGTCCAAAAAGGACAGCTATGCTGTAGTTAAAAGGCTTGGGTCAGCTTTCCTGTGATTGGTGGTTTGCCCGGCCCTTTAAACGAGAGGTTACCTTCCCGTTGTGTCAAAGGCATTCAAATCGCCAATTGCAAGCCAGTCTTGGGGAACAAAGGCAACCCTATGCCAACCCTATGGGCGATTTGTTGGATTTGTAGGACAGGAGGCCTTAGACAAAAAAGCCGCAAAAAACACTGTACCAGGAATCAACCCCTTGAATAATTACCCCTGGTTCATACCCCTTGGCTTCTTCTTAAGTTTCCAACTCACTTAAGGGGTATATTTGCTATATTCCCCCTTGAACGGGAAAGAAGGGCGGGTATGAAGATCAGCTCAGCAGGGCGTTTTGGCCAAGGAGTTGGACTTGAAGAACTGGAAGCTGAGTGGCGTGCGGTATCCCTTATGGCGCGGGGCCATCCATGGCGGGGTCTTCGTGGAGGGGCCCCACATGTACAAACACGAAGGCCCAGCTGGGCGGTTTGCGTGGTGTGCGTTCGGTTGGTTGGTTGGTTTGGTTGGTTTGCTTGGTTGGGTGGGTGGGTTGGTTGGTTTGGTTGGTGGGTTGGTTTGTTGGTTTGCTTGGTTGGGTGGGTGGGTTGGTTTGGTTGGTTGGTTGGTTCGGTTGGTTGGTTTGCTTGGTTGGGTGGGTGGGTTGGTTTGGTTGGTTGGTTGGTTGGTTGGTTTGCTTGGTTTGCTTGGTTGGGTGGGTGGGTTGGTTTGGTTGGTTGGTGGGTTGGTTGGTGGGTCGGTTGGTTGGTTGGTTGGTTGGTCGGGTGGGCACCGGAGGCCTGGGTTTTTTCCAGCGGCTACCTTGAAGCTTGGCTTGCGAAACTTGAGTTGGCAAACTTGCATCCGCGGGTCGAATTGTTTTGGCCGGGAGCCTTAGGTGGCCTGTTGAGAGCGGCTGTAGCTTTTTTTTGTCTGATGGGAACTCCAAAACTCAAGGGCAATTCCAGGTATGGGTCTTGGGGGTATGGATGCTTACGTACCTCCAATATACCCTTGTAAGGCAGTATGCGCCCGTTATATGTATTTATGTATATGTGGTATATAGCTTCCATACAAAACCCATACCGAAACACTATTTGGACCGCCCAATCTCAAGACCCCAGCTTGCATCCTGAGTATTGCTCACTTGAAGTTTGAGCGCGGGGTCTACTTGAGGACGCCACAACGCCGCTGGAACATATGAGGAACCCCCTTGTTCTATGACTTTGGTGGCAAAGTGAGGGGTTCAGAGGTGTATCTTGCTTGGATGTTAGGACTCTAACTTTTGGCCAACTATTGGCCGCTAAAAGTTAAGCTTTTAGCAGGGGAGCGGAAAGCAACCGAGGTTTTTTGCGGTGAGAACTAAGAAAAGTCGACCATGTTGAACATCCCGGCTCTTGCGGAAGAGTGTTTGGAACTTGGTTCGAAGGTCTCCGACGAGCAAAGCGCAAAAAATCAGCCTCGAGACTTGTAGGGCCGTGGCATAATTTCAGGTTTCAATTGCATGCTCCTGGAGGTGCCCCGAATATATCCCCTTTTCTTTACGCATCCAGGTCAGTAAGTTTCATTTCCCCTTAAGAGAAACCAGGGGAGTAGTCGTTGTCCAGACATTGTGAAATTCTCGGGCCAAGAGGCTTCCACTTGCTCAAGAATTTGTTTCATGCTGCCTTGTTGGTTTTAAAGCTGGAATCTATCAGAGACGGGTTGCTTTGGAGAAAAAAAAACAGCACGCCCCCTACGCACGCAGTGGTCGGGTTGAGTCGGCCAGGATCTTACTACCTCATGGCCGCTGAGGGCGGCACTGGGGTGAACCACTCGGTGGTTATTGCCATCAGCTCCTAAGCCAAGCGCAAAGCGAGTAAAATGGAAGCTTCCAGGAAGGGACCCCTCTTTCATGTGCAGAGGCCTAAAAGGAGCAAAGCTTCGACACTCTTTTCGTGGCCAGGTCTGAAGTGTCCCGATCCCAAACCCTCTAGAGGGAATCTGTAAGCTGAAACTTGCGGATGGACATTGCCACTCTAGACGATTCCATGGAAGCTCCCAGGAAGTGACCCCGTAGTTTGGAAGACTTGGTGACCCATTTGCAGAAGCCTATTGGGGGAGCCTGCGGCTGTTAGTCTGAGACAGCGTACCTGGTGGTTTCATCAGTTTCAAGTTTCAATAATGTGAACCCCCGATATGTGTTGCCCTTGGTTGATGAGTAGGGGGGGGTTGTCAAACTGGGTTTCTTAGGGGAATCGGACCACTTTTGGAGTGGCATTCTGCTATGAATAGGGAAGTTTATTTGTTTTTCAAAATTATTTTTTAAAAACTTGATCTCCATTTAGCCTTGCATCGGCCAAGCTAGAGGCATTTAGCTAGAGGCATTTAGCCCAACGGTTGGTGGACGGACAGTCGAACAGAACATCGATACACCCGGCTTTGCCTGTAACCTGAATTGCAACTTAGGAAGGCCAAAAAGCATCCAAAGCCTAACTCCGGCAAATCGCTTCATGGGGCCATTCCAGGTGGTTCATTATCTTGTTTTCTTTCTATCGCAGTTTATTTACGCATGTCAAGACACTTATGATTATGTGTTCAGCATCCACCTGTTGGATCTCTATCATTTTCCCCATGTCACATTTTTTGTTCATGGACTTTGGTCACTTTTTCGGGTTTGGACCAGTTTAGTGGCAGGCCAAACGGTTGGTTCCTAGCTGTTTATTTCTGTTTGGAGGTTGAATCCGTTGCGGTGAGAGATCTCCTTGGGCATCTGGCAAGCTGCTCAGGGGCTGGTTTTGGCTATTTTTGGCTGAAACATGCCCAAGCCTGGCCACATCCGTTGGGTCAAGGTTTGGCACCTAACATGATTCCTCTCAGCTCAAGTGCGGGCTTAAATCCTAAGTTTTTTGAGTTCACTGTGAATCAAGATGCAAAAGCCCAGCCCGAACCAGATGATCAAGTCCAAGGTAGTTGTGTATGCCATGCATCCTTTCACCAATTGACATGGAACTCATGGAACCTGAAAACCTGGACCCCTAAACGTCAGGTTGCGGCTGTTTATTGGTGGTGTCAGGTTGCGGCTGTGAAGTGGTGGTGTCAGGTTCCAGCTGTTGATTGGTGGGAGGGTATCCTTTCACGAACCCATTTTTCCGCTCAGGCGACAAGGTCACTGGGCCCTTCTTCCCAAACGACCGGAACCCCATCCTCACGTCGCGGCATTTGTCGTATGACAACTGGGTGCACAGCACGGGGCATGCAGATCTCTTCCAGTTCTCCGATGGCAGGCGCGAGGTAAGAGTGAGTTGAATTCGCCGACCCCTTTGCATGGTTGTTGTTGGGACATATTTTACCGTTTTTCTTATTGTGGTTTAGTGGGAAACCTCCACTTAACTGCTAAAAATCGATTGTTTGCTCCTCTTCCAACGTCAACCAAGTTTGGGCATGTCTTCTTTAACGTCCGACACCCCGCTTCCTAAAGAGACTTCGCGTTCTCCCCAGTTACTGCCTTGAGGTGGTACATGGTATGCCTGGGCATCCGAGCAGAGGAGGGCGAGCCAGGCATGAAGAGATCCAACATGGGCCGGGAGACCCATCTTCTGCCGGTGCGCCTCGTCGAAAACTTGAATGCTCACCCAAGATGAAGTAAGATAAAGTAAACCCTACTGTGGATGGACAACATCCCATTTCGCACCACTTTGAAACCATATAGTTGAAGCCATTGAAAAAACGATGGACTCCACCCGGTTTGGATGGGTTGGGATTTGGAATTTGGCCCCCCCCGGTTCTTCTCGAAAATACAGCCGCCAAGCCGCCAAGCCGCCCATGGAAGCTGAATCCGCCAGCTAGGTTTGATTTTTTTGTCGTTGGTCTGTTTGGAGAATCAAAAACTCAGGGGAAACCACCTGGTGTTGGTGGAAAGAAAAAAACCGATGGAATTTGTTTAGCCCTCCGAGGACCTGGGAGCTGGAGCCCATGGAGTGGCACTCCCTGGGCCCCGCGGGCAAACGCCTCTGGCCCGTCTGCGCGCCCTCCACGGGCCGCGTGGACCGCACCAACGCGCTGCCGGTACCTTCGGCCGAGCAGCGGCTCGCTTGGAACGAACGCCCCGAAACGTCTTCGACGAACATTTGGGGTGTGTTGTTTCGTTGGTTCTGTTTTGTTTGCTGTGCTTCGTTTTAATTTGTTGGTGTTTGTTGTGTTTAGCTGTTTTTGGTGGTTTGTTGCGTTTGGCGTGTTTCGCTTGCTTTTTGTGGTTTTGTTGTGTTTCGTTTATTTGTTGTTGTTTTTGTCCCTTTGTTTTGGTGTGCTAGTAGAGCCGGCGAAGCCGGTTGGCGGAAGTTCCAATCATACAAGAGCTAAAGCCCTCGTCCTTTTTCAGTGCTCTTTTGCCTTTCCTCTCTTTCTTTTGCTCTCTTTCTCTGTCTCTTGATCTTTATCTTTCTCTTGATCTTTATCTATCTCTTGTTTTGTTCTTCTCTTTCTTCCCTTCTCTCTTTATCGCTGGCTTCTTTCGCTTCTGCTTTCTTGACCTTGCGAAAATGCGGCACCTGTCACGAAATCTGCATGTGCCAGTTTGCACTTCCGTGCCATTGGGACTTGCAACACGTGCGTGCCAGCATTGCCAAAATGTTCCGCCTGTCATGCAATCTAAGCCTGCGTCTGCAAAAGTGCTGTGCCTGCCGCGAAATCTACACCTCATGCTGCCAAAGTGCCGCGCCTGCCGCCGCATTTTGATCACCAATCCAACAAAGTGCTTCGCCTGCCGACAGGCGCAAAACTGACGTCGCGAAAACCGCGCACCTCCGTGCCAATGGGCCCGGGTCCGAGACCGCTCCGTGCCCATCGTCCCGGCGTCGCCGAGGTAGCTTTCAGCCCGGAGACCGCAGAGGGTCACTTTCTCATTCCTACACCACGGTCCAACGCATGTTTTCTCCCACGCATTCATTCTTTCTTCATCTTAGTTGTGCTCAAGACTTTCATTTCGTGTCCGTAACAAGGAAGTTCCTGCTAAACTTCCTTTGGTTATGTCCTGTTGTTTGTTGCTTTAGGATTGTTTTGGTTTGTTGTCCTTTTTGTTTGTTTGTTTGTTTGTTTGTTTGGTTGGTTGGTTGGTTGGTTAATTTGCTTGTTTGTGTGTGTATCGTTGTTTCGCTGCTTTGTTTGTTGTTTCCTCTTTGTATTGATAGTTGCGTGTTTCATCTGTTTGCTGCGGTGTTGCTTTGTGTCTTGTTATGTGGTTTTCTTGTTATTTTGTGTTGTCTTGTCGGTTTGGTGTTTGTTTCTTGCGTTGTTTCTGTTCGATGGGTGTTTTTTTGTTTTTTCCCGTTTTATTATTTTTTTTTGGGGGTTGTCGTTTTGGACAAGCGCCTTTGTGGGCTTGGCCACGCAACTGAGCCAGTCAGCGTAGGACCCCATGGGCGGGATGCTTAAGCTGTTGCTGGGAAGGCTACCACCAAAAAAAAAGAAAAAGAAAAAGAAGAAACAAAAAAGCTAGTGAAAGCCTTTCAGGTTAGGCAGCCAAGTCAACCCAAGTATTGTCCCAAAGATGACTCGGTACCTGGTGTAACCTGGAGGTAAACGTCCGGAGTCAACATGTTCAAAGTTCCCTTTCGGAAGTCGCAGGGGGTAAAGACTTTTACCAACGTGGATGTGCACGTTCGCCCCTTTTGGAAGACAGCCTCTTAGAAAAGGCCATCAAGCCTTGGTGCGAACTCGCGTACGAAGCTGGCAAGGAGCCAGAGCCACAATGTCTTCAAGGACGGGTGGTGTTTCAAAACCGGCTTCCGGACAGAACCCCGCCTCAAGTGACTCCAAAGGCCTAAAGAACCATAGGGCTTGTCCTCTTAGTTTGATCGCCCCCTGTTGCCCATGTAACACAGTAAGCTTCGAAGAACCGTATTTGATCCATGGGGCAACCTCGGTTGACAATGCTCCCCAAGGTTTTGGCCGAATGGTGAGCATACAAAAACCGTGGGGAGTAGACGTACACAAGCGAAAGCCATGACGTAGATCCTTCTTACCTGGGCATCCAATTCTTGGCTTGCGTGGTTGCCTTTCGAGCTTCTCGATTGAATATCAAACGGCTCCTTGTGGCTAGGGTAGTGCGTGACTTTATTGGCCTGCGAAAGGCAAGCCATGTTTCCATCCCGGCCTGAGACACACCCCCTCTGGCAATTCCGCATGTTCCCTTGGGTGCAAGGAAAAGGATGTATGTTTTCTGGCTGTCCTTTGTGCCATCTCCAACAGGGTACCCTGAAACGGGGCATCCCTTCGATCAACAAGCCAAAGTTCTAAGGCAAGTCGACTGGCTAGGGGCAGGTGATGCAACTTTGTGGACATGACCAACGTGACTTGCAAAACGCACGTGGGGCCTGTTATCTGCCCCTGGGACACGTTCCGTTTCCCTGGGGGCCAGTGAGGGGGGTACATTGTGTTGTTGGTTTCTTGTTGTTTGGTGCTCATAGAATAGCACACACACACACACTTTGATCCCATGTCCCTCTTTCCAGGACTCCTTTGACAGCACCTCTCTACACCCCGAGTGGCTCTTCCGGCGCGCGCCATCGGACGACACCTTCACCTTGGATGGGAAGGGCTTGCGCCTCTTTGCGTCACCTGAGGCGCCGAAATGGGTGTTCACGGGGAGGGTGCCAAATAGCTCGCAGGTTTGTTACATTTTCCCCAAAAAGAAGCCAACAACAGAGCTCAAGTTTTTATGCCCCAAAAGCAAGCAGAAAGGATGCGCAGCCAAGTTCACAAGATTCCTGGCTGGGTACACCATTATCACTTGCTTCGGGGCCCGCAAAGGTGACGTTCTCCAGTAATGGGGGGGGTAATGCCTGGGCGTTGTCAGTTTTCATGTGCTCACCTTCCCCTGCTTCTGGACTTCAAAGCTTCTTTTGGGGGGACACCCCCGGTCGTTTCTGGTTTGGCACTGGGGCCAAGCCTGGCTAAGTGCCCTCCCAACGGGTTCCCAAAGACCAACTGAAAAACACGCCTTTTGGTTGCAGGTTGACATCCATGGATTGGGATCCCACGTTTTGTGCGTACCAAGGCTCTCTTGTTAGATGACCATATCCCCAGAAGTCCCCATTTTTTTAGAATGTTCAGGATTTTCACCCGAGCCCCTAGAGGGCACCCTGCAAATCAAGTTTGGATGATGGGGTGACTTTAGTGGGGCAACGAACTGTCCAACTGCAAGAAGTGACTAAAAAATGATTCCCCCCAAAACAAATTCTACAAGGCACCCCGGGCTCGAAAAGTCATCGACCTATCGCCACCGGCGTTTTCCAGGTGCTGAAAGAGCGCAAGGCCTGCAGCTTCCTGGGCATCCGCCAGCGCCAGAGCGACTTCGAGTTCGAGGACCGGACTCTGAGCTACGCAGCCAGAAGCCCCAAGCCACCAAGCCACCAAGCCACCAACCACACCACGCTTTTGGGGAAACTGACCATCCCCCAATCCAAACCACCAATTGGGAAGCTGAACCAGTTTCCAATGGCCCGTGAGGCTAAGATGAGCTTCGAGGGCGACGCAGAGGCGGGGGTGGCCATCGTTCAGAAGGACGAAGCTTGGCAGCGGGTGCAGGTGGATGTCCTTGTTACTTATGATTCTTGGGGTTGATTCCATGGTTCTTTTCAAAAAAACAGCTGTTTTCTCGGGTTTTGGGTGGTCTTTTAGAAAGAAGGATGCCTGGAAAGAATGGGGAAGGATGCCCATTCGTGGCGGTGTTGTTGCCATCTTTGCTTGTGCCCACAAGCTGTCCATTGGGACTGCAAACCGACCAACCAACCTAGAATGATACCTATTTGTTTTTATGGTGATCCCGAGAGGATGTTTTGTTTGATCCTGATTGTTTTTCTTGATGCCTGACCCATGGATGACCTTCATGACCATGTTTTTAGTTACTCTTTGCCTTGTTTTTCTCGTGGTTGGGGGGGAGAGGTCACGCCTTTGCAATGCAGCTGTTTGTTGCAAGCTACATAATCCATGCCCAGTCATTCCCCAAAGGGCCAATTCCACGCCGATCGACACCAGTTAAGACGCATGAAGCCTCAATCATGGACACCGGGACAAGGAGGGCTCGCCCGGGGAATTTAGCACGTTACCGATTTTGATGGTCATGCAAGTAGTCGCGGGACTCTGCAGTGGCGCGCATGTATCTACTAGGGTCTTCGAGCTCACCGATCCGAAAGCTGGAGGTGTGTATACTTGTGAAAAGTGTACTCATGGCAAGTGGCAAGATGTGTTTGGAGCTCATACGCCTGACTTGTGTTGGCAGAATCTGAGGTGATGTGAGTCTATTTGTTTTGAGCTCTAGGCAAGGGCAGGGAAACTTCTTGATCTTTGCGAGCGTTCAATGCGTGCGAGCACTGTTGGGCAGGCTGCGAGCCGGGGCTTAGATGTTTTTTGCTTGCAAGTGATGATTTCCTCCCCATTAGCTGTCCGGAGCTGATCTTCAAGAGAATCAGGTACTGGAGCCTCCCTTCTCTTTCGCAGCTCCCTTCTATGCAGCCCACTAAAGGTTAAACTTTTAGCAGGGGATCTGAGGGCAGCCCAGTGTACACATTTCGAACCAGGGGCTGGGTGAGACAGGTACCTGCCAAGGTAACGCGAACACGGGGCGCGCCATCGCCAGAAGCTCTGCCCCAAGAAAACCCACGGGTTTCCCACCCGGACCCTATACTGTGGATGGAAATGCGAAATGCGAGAGAACGCCTAGAATGATGTTCGATGTCCCAGCGTAAATACCAACGAACCTTATGGTTTCAACTATGGTGTCTGAATTTCAAAGTGGTGCAGGATTTTGTCAATCCACAGCATTAGACTTGGGCAACATTGTTTGGAGCAGATCGATCGGTACCCCCTCAAGAAAAGCCCAGAACCAAATCTGGTTCATTGGGTGTCTAGTAGGGAAAGCCTCGGGAAACCCTCCTCGAATGATCGAGGCTGATTAAACCTGGTCGAAATGTCTTTGCTTATGACGTGCTTCCAGGGGATTCCAACCCTGCAAGGGTAAATTCGAGAAGCAGGAATCCACGTTGCGTGCCCCAGCTGAACAGTAGGCGCTTGAAATGTTTAAAGGGGAAGCACCGGGAGGTTTTGGTTCATGTTTAAACCCAGACCTCCAGTGGTGCCCTGCTTCCTGTTACAACCAACTAGCCCACGGTGAAACCCAGCGGTTTTCATTGAACCCAGTTGTCATCTCAGGAGAACTACGCCAGCTTCACGGTGGCCAAAGAGGGCTCCTACAAGTTGCGGCTAGCGCTCAAAGAGAAGGATGCGGTCTCGAGCGCGGGGCTCGGGGGGAGCGAATCCCGATGCAGAAACGCCTTGAGCAAGCGCCTGCCCCCCCTCTTTCAGGGTCCCCGGGTGGCTGACTTTTTTGAACCCATGCCCAAAGAACCTGACCGCTTCATTTGGAACCTCCATGGAACCCGCTCAAACATGTTTTCCGGAGGAGAAAGACGAGCAGGTGCTCCTGAACAAAGACCTATCGGAGTACAAGGCGGGCAAAAGGCCTTTGGGTGCCAGGTTTTGGTCCATGTTGCTTACCAGCGTTCCATTTTGGGTACCTATTTTTGACCCGCAGCCGTTTGAGCAAAAGACCCATCTCTTTGGCTTTTAAACAGGAAGCCATAAGGAGAGCCCGCCATTTTGGGGGGGTCCAACCTGAAAGACGATTCACATATTGCACAAAATATGCTTTGGTTTGCGCCTTGGCTCTCGGACAGCATTAAGCAACGAAATCGCGGACGTGCCTTCTTGAGATGGTCAAAATGCTCGGACATTTGGATGGGAATTCATCGCTGCTGGATGTGTTTTGTCTTCTTCCAGGGGCTTAAGCAAATGGACACATAGAAACTGGATGTGTTTTTGTTTCACTGTCAAGGTCTCGCAAGGAATTAAACCGGTCTTGCAACGACATACACGTTTCCCTTCCAAAGGTCTGATGGTGGGATAGTTGCCCAGATGTGATACACACCATGTGAGTTCTCCGCGGCCCAACGCAAAATGACCTTTTGACCGTTTAGCTTCCCCATTTGGTACATATTTTGTCAAGGTCCCAAAACGCTTACAACCGTTTATGTCTGTTTTTGCTGTGCAATTGAGAGTCCATTTTGTTTAGGGTGAGAAAGAGTAGGCCATGATGCCCCACCTTGGCATCACAGAGCCAGTTCTTGCCATGGCCAGGGCAGCATCATGTTCAAGATTGTCTCCTCCAAGCACAGCTATGACTTCTTATACTCCTTGGATGAGGGCAAATCCTATGTCAGCTGCGCGCAGACGAAAGCCGCAAGACCGCAAGATTAGCGAGGCTCAGAACTTGTTAAATGCTCTTTGTTGCCAGGTGATTTCATCATGTTAGTCTGGGCCCAAGGTTTTGTTCTAGGCGCTGGTCCCTTGTTCAATTCAGGTTTCCAAAGTGTGTCCCAACTTCATCCGGCCAACGTTTTGTTGCCAGGTTTCTGAACACATTCTAGTCCAGGGCCATTGGTTTTAAGTCACCAAGGTCTACCCTTTCTTTTTTGGTTGGGAGGGTTCCCCCACTAAAATAGATTGCACAACAATTGGTATCTCTACTGGAGGACGTAGTCGCATGGCAGATCAGGCCGACCTTTTGCTGAGCTTGGGCTACACAGGCAGCTGCCTGGGCTTGTATTGCACCAGCCGGGGTAAGTCCTCAAAGGACTCGGCGTCTTACGCGTGGGTGCGCCATGCGGCCGCTACTCAAGCATAGCTTTTGGCTTTGGGCTTCGGGCAAAAAGTCGCCCGAAAGCAACAGAAGGAGATGGATGTGCAAACAAAATGCGAACCACCAGGGGTGCTCCTACCCTCAAAGCAATGAACGTATAAGTTACCGTATAAGGGTATGTGTCGAATTTATGGGGATGCCCCAAGAACTGCAATCTGTTTGGGTTTTCGTTCTAAAACACCAACAAGTGGGTACCCTCGACAAAAAGACACCAGGGTCTCTCGAGCACCTCTGGCGAGGTTTGTTAGGCTTTTCCACACCTCGTGGTGAAAACCTCGCCGGAAGCGCTCGATTGCAAAAGAGTCGTCCGGGTGTCGCTGCGTGCGAGGAGGTTGAGCGGCTCCCAGCACCCCACCTTTTGGATACGTCTGACCAAAATTGTGGACATGGACAGCATGGCTCTTCTTCAACACGAACAGCGATCTGGAGCAGGGCATTTGTCTTACCACGTTTCCGACCGGCTTTTTGTTTGGGCAAAAATCGGCACCCCCTTGCTCACCCGGACCCTTAATTCCCAGTGGGAGCGGACGTACCAGTTTGCAAAGTATGGAGTTTATACACCACTACTAGGGGTGCAGACTACAAGCTTGTTGTTTTTTCTACATACGCATCCATCCAAAAAACATACCTGGACATGCTCTTGATTCCACCGGGAAGACACATGGCACACTTCCCATATAAGGTAAAGCGGGCCTGACTCCACGTGGTTTTTGAATTCGCAACATGCTTTCACACTGCAAGAAAGAGGCCAAGGAAGTGCAAAGGAGAACCCATGGCTGAGATGTGTTTTTCATTTATGGCCCCCTGGACGGATTTTGAAGATCCACTCGTTTTTTGTAAATCCACCCCCGAGTGGACAGCTGAAAAGCTCGCCGCGGTTCCGCGCAACCGCGGAAGCAGGAAACAAACATGCTGCTTGTGTGAAGGGTAATGTTGACCCCGGATTTTTTTGAACCCCCCGGTTCATGAACAGGGTGTTCCCTCCAAAAGTGACCAGCTCCGACTAAAAAGGCTCCCCTATAAATCATCCAGGGGCCTATTTGGGGCCAACGTTTATCGAATGTGGAATGCCAAAGCCCAGCCATCCGGCTTCAGGGGGTGGGGGGATCTCCCATTGGCTGAGATGAATATTTGTTTATGTCCCCCTGTTGGTTTCAGAGGGATTCTCATTTTCCAGGGGCCGAATTCGCAAACGGAAGCCAATAAGGTGTCCCGGTATTTGTGGGCATGCGGGGTTTTCCCAAGTTTACAGCAAAGGGTAGACATGGCAGGGGGGCATGAAAAGGATTGAATCTTAGAACAGGGTGTCTAAAAAGAACGGTTGGTAAAGAGAATTGTGAATCGTTCGTTCGCGTTCACCCCCAAAGGGTACCGATCCAAGCAACCCGTTGACATCGCTGGGGTTAGGAGCCGACCTTTGCCTTTGCTGCGGCAAGCCTTTCCGCGCGCCAGGGCCAAAGTGGGCGATTGGCCGATGGCAAAGGTTCAAAGGTGGGCCCAGTTCCATTGATCGTAAAGAAAGCCCACCTGGACCCAAATTGGATGATGGTAAAGTGTGGTGGTTGCATGAATTCCCATTGTTTGCGCGGTGTTAGGCGAAAAGGATGGTTGCCATTGGGCTTTGTCTTGAATGCTACTTTTCTGGGATTGTCAAAGGAAGCCAAAGGAAGAACGTGAATTTAGAGGGCCTAGTTTGAGACAGACCCTACGGGTGGCCCAGCTCCAGTTGCCGCTCGGTCTTTTCCGGGCGCAAGCACCGTTAGAGCAGGGGAAGCTATGCAAAGCTCAAAGAGGTACGTGGATCAGCTTCTCTCCAAGTGGTTTGGGGGTGGTTTCCCATTCGCTCTTTGCAAGAAGGGGTTTAACCCACCAACCCACAAATCCAAACCAACTAAGGATGCTTGGAGTGGATGGACAAACTCATGTTGGGAAGGATGAAACCCCTATTCGCATAGACCAGACGCGTGGACGTTGTTTCTTTCTTTTCCAGGAGGGCCACCCGTACCCTTTTGGGTCTGTCTCTAGGGGGCCATCAAAATTTGTGCTTTTCCTTTTGCTTTTGATTGAAAGCCATCCACCCCTTGAAATAGAGGTTTCATCCATCCCACCCGGAATTTGTCCATCCACTCAGATAATCCTTAGTTGATTTGGTAAAGCAGGTATCCTGGGGTGTCCTTACAAAAAAGCATCCCGAAAGGTGGCCATTGAACACCATCCCCAAAAACAGAACAAAGGTGGCCTTTCAAAAAACCTCACAAAAGTATCCACATCGTATCCTCAAAAAAGACCCAGTGTCAAAAGGACTGGAGGTCTCAGCAGGCCACCCCAAAGAGGCAACATCAAAACTCTAATTTTTGCGTATGTTTTGAGCTGGATGCATGAACTATCGGCTGAGCTTTGTACAAGCATGTTAAGCTTTTGAGGGCATCCACAAACCACATGGTCCAGCCTGTTTTGCACAGTTCCAGGTTGTTGTAGGTCTTTTGGTGTGCCCCTTGAGGGCCGAGAAGCAGTTGATGAGAAGCAGTTGCACACTTCAGGCGAGCCGGAGAGTCGGGACTGAGAAACAGTGGCTGCTGATGAAACTTTTTTGGGGCATGTTTAGGTATTTGCCTGGGAATATGCACAGGCTGTCGGTGAAACGGGAGAGGTTGAACATAGACTTGAAGGAAGTGCAGGTGCTGAATTTGCAGGTGAGAAGTGCCATTCAGGGGTACATACTGCCTTGCCAGCTTTCTGTTGGTGGATTCTCAAGCCTCCACAAGCCATACCTGGAAATGCTGATTGGGGTCATGGTAGGGAGCCCCTAGTCAAAACATGCGGAACTCGCCGGCTCCAACATGCAAACCCCGCCCATTTGGAGTGGGGCCGAACCTCGGGTGTCTGGAAGCACATGGAAGTCGTGCTGAGTTCTAGGGGTTGAGTCCTTCCAACCATTCTTTTCAACCATCCTTCTTTTCAAAAAAAAACAGCGGTTTCCCCAGGGTTTTGGCTGGTTTTGTAGAAAGAAGGATGCCTGGAAAGAATGGAAATGGAAGGTACCCCTAGAATTCATGTCTCAGGTTCGCCAGCCCTAAGTGAATGATTACACGCATCCGGCACGGGGTGGTTTTCCAATGCGAGGGTGGGAAGGCTCACTTGAGAGACATGGAGCTCACTGCCAAAACCGACCTGGAAGGACCTTTTGGTTTTCTATTGTTGGTCCATTCTTAGTCGTGGCCCGAAAGTTGACCTTCTAACTCCATCCTTTGGGTACCCACAGAGTTGTTTGACCATCCAACTGGGTGCCAAATAGCCAATCGTGTTCTAGCCAAAAGGAAGCAAACATAATTTAAGTTTCCGCACCAAGCCGTCTAAATTGTGTTCGGCCCAAGCTAACAGGCCCTACTTAGCACCCAGACTATGTTGGAGCAAGAAATCCAGGCCAACCAGCTTTGGCTTCAGTTTAGGCATTTTTGAATTGGTGGTTTGGATTTGTGATTCGGGGTTTCCGCCTTTTGAAGGCAAGTGGGGGAAGGTAACCTCCAAACCACCACTTAGTGGTGATCAGCACCCAGCCCATGACTCAGGTAACCCTGGGTGGTTTGAATTGGTTTGGATTGGTTTGGGGATTTGAATCCCTTCTTGTATAGCTTGTTTACTGGGTAGCCCCTAATTAAAAGTTTGGATTGGTTTGTGGAATTTGCACCCCTTCTTCTTCCTGACACTTGCTTACCGGGTAAATTGGGAAGTACCACCTTAAAATCCCCAAAAAAGTAGATCCGGGAAAGCTGTAGCATTGATCAGCACTGCCAGCCGAAGCTTCGATGCGCCCAGGCCCGGACATCCGGATCCCAGCGAGGACTTCGTTCCCCCGCCGCCCCCGCCGGAGTGAGCGGCTCGTGAGTCGCTTGCGGGGGATGGGGTTGGCGTGTTTCTTTTCGTGGCCGCGCGGCCACAGGGGAACGCCATAGCTGGGACAGGGCTACTAGGTCCCCCAGTAGTGCCCTTTTACCGTTTCTTTTTTTGGGAAAAGTTCCCTGCTAAAACAGACTACAGAAAAACGGGTACCCTTATTCTAACCTGTCTACTGGAGGACCTAGGCTACTTACAGGATGCCAAGGGCCTATGTTCAATCAAAACATGTAGAGGATTCCCTCACTTTTGCTTTCAGGCTTTGGAATTACATGTAGAACTTGCAGAAGCATTGGTTTCTCATGACGGGGGAGTTTGCTAAACGATGCATACAGAATGCACTTGTTGTGCAGTGTTATTAAAAAGTATGTTTTTTGTTCCTTTGTTTGTCTTTCTCATTTTTGCAAGGCGCCGACGAAGCCCTCTCCAAAACTGCATACAACTTGCTTTCTTTCGCCTTTCTTGCTTTGCTTTCCCTTGCTGAGTCTTGCTGTCCCGTGCTTTCCCTCCCTTCCTTTCACTTGCTTTCCCTTGCTTTCCCTTGCTTTCCATTTTCTTGACTTCGCTTGCTTGCCCTTGCTTTCCCTTCGCACGCATGCTGCCACAGATCAAGGCAGTCGCTTTTCGTTGTTGCCTTACTGGTTTGCAGAAGCATTGGTTTCTCAGGGTGGGTCAATTTAATACTACCCCGCAACCCCTTTCCGACATATTCAGGCCCTGGCAGCACCTCTCCCCAGCCAAGTCAAACAATGCCCTCTTTTGACCCGTAGGCGCACAGGAGGGCCCTGGCTAAAAGAGGATGATGAACTTCCAGGACCCCAGTGTTCCATGTTGACAGGTGAACCATGTGTCTGCTTCTCGATTCTTTGGGAATGGCCGCGGCAAATTTGGTAGACAGGTACCTCATGATGCAGTTGAACCCCTTTCGACCTCTGTGTCCTTTGATGCTCGGTGCCCTTGTTTGTGGGCTTTAACAGGAAACCAAGAGGAAGACCCAATCTTGTGGATCCCATAAAACGACGACACCCCTCTGTTGATCCAGACAAATTTCTGCGGTGTCGGCAAGAGCAACCCGGTAGCGTGACAAACATCACATGTGGTTTCCAAAAAACAAGCACAGGGGGTTACAACTCCAATCGTCAACTGTTGTCAACGACAAGCTCCATTATAATCAGCCGGTGCGACCATTTG